TATCTCTACGACTCCAGCCTCGCCCTCTCTGACTCCAACCTTGCCCTCTTTGACTCCAACCTTGCTCTCTCTGACTCCAACCTTGCCCTCTTTGACTCCAACCTTGCTCTCTCTGACTCCAGCCTCACTCTGAATGTATTCTGATTAGAATCCTAATCAAAATGCTAATCAAAAGGCTGAGGTTATGGTGCTGTTGCACATCTTTCTTCCACATTTTGTCTTTCTAATTCTACAAATTTGCTTTGCTACAGTTCTAAAAATCAAGCTTCTTTAGTGATGACCTTCAGTGGCTTCCCCTACTTGTGGACGATATCACTGAACACTTTATGGACAACTGTCAAGTTGGTAGTCTCCTACTGACCCGAGCAAAGGGATTGGAGGCTAGGAAACCTTTACTAAGTTCTGAGTTAACTCACTGATAAGGATGTGATACCAAAAATTCTAATTGGCCTTCTAGTTGGGTTCTCTACATGTTGGCCTTCTAACCGGGTTAATGTAGTAAAAGTGAAGCGCTTCAACTAAAGAATATGCTACTAATAAACGGCCCACCTCGTTAAGGCAGTCAAATACGTAGATGCTGTACTCGTTCCAGCTCAGGATCCAACCCTCTTTGAGAAAACAGCTGAGCAGGCCGAGCTGTCTGTCGGCTGGACGGTACGCTCCGATTGGACCAGGACGGGGAAACAGCTCAAACTGGGGAATCTGTAATGGACCGATAGACAGAAACATAATCAATCTCTAAAATAATTATCACACTGGTAATGTTTTGACTTCCGGTCCTATGTACAACCAGAACGTTACCTGCATTTTACTCAGAAGAAGATTCTGTTTTTACCTGTTTTTCAAAGAATGATCTGAGCAGACGCGTGTGCTCCACCTCTCCTCTAACATTAGACCTCCACAGCCTGAGTCCGGGTCGGGCGGCGTACACCTGAAGATCGCTCTGTTTGCAGAGCGCTGGCAGAAAGCAAGCTCCAAACCTGCCGGTTCTGATAGAGCAGAGAAACTGTCAGGGCTGCGACCTCTGCTGCCTTTAAATCAGCTTGTCAGCTGCTGATGGGTTCATGTCGCAGGACAGTAGTGAACTGATGTTTGGTTTACCTCTTGCGTGGTTTGGTGCCCAGCTGCAGCACTTCCTGTGTCTGAGTACAGTAGAGCAGGGATCTCTGTTGAGTTGAGACCAGCAGCACCTGATGTCTATACTCCATCTGAACCACGCCTGATGGCTCCTCTAGCAGCAGCACAGGTTTACACACCCCCTGCATGCATTCAGGGTCAGTCAGCGGGTCTTCTAAAAAGTGCAAAGAGTCACGCATCACACCGTGCTTACCTGGTCTAAGTCCAGAGCAGAAAACACGACCCGTCCTTTATCATCTCCAGAGAACAGCTTCATTCCGTTGGCGCTCCAGGTCAGAGCTGTGATAGAGCCTTTATGGAGGCTGACCACGTCGAAACGCCTGAGCTGCAACAAAACCCAACAGATGAGCTCCAGCAGCAAGAAGAAGCAGAAAGCAGAGGGGACAGGTGTGGAGAGGCCAACCTGTTTGTTGCGTCCAGGAAGCGGGGACACCAGCTGGAAGACTACGACCCGACCCAAAGCTGTTCCAACAGCCACCAGATCATCGAAGCAGCTGAGCAGCTTTACTGCCGTGATGGCTTCACATTTTCCCTGTTAGACACATGGGATGCCATCTCAGTCCAGATCTAGATGTTCTGTTTCTGGACTCAGAGGCTCTTCAGAGAACATAAGAGAACCACCACCAACATGAAGACCATGGAACCCAGCAGATATGACAGCGAGGAGGTTCTGGTTCAGTTTAAAGCAGGGTTAGGTTCTAGTACATTCTCCAGGCCCTCTGATCAATCCTGCACCACCTACAGACCTACCAACACATGGAGGTCCTCCTAGACCCACAGGTTGGAGGAGGGGAATGTTGATCAGAGAAGAAGGGGACCGTGGGGGCTCTGGAAGAGCTGCAGAGATCTACAGCTCAGGAGGAAAAACTTTTGATTTGATAACTTCTAACTGATCACTCTACAACCCTCTATTCTATTGCGGAGCTGCTAGAACATAGCTGCTGCTAAATAGAGACCAGAAGAAGTCCTGTTTGCAGAGCCTTGTGGTGCAGCAGGAGAACCATCATTACTTTTATATTGGCCTAGTCAAAGTCCAGAAATAAGAGCCATGAATTCTTTCTAATTCTTTAAAATTGCGTTTTTTTCCCCCTTTTGTTCTTTTTCAACTGACTGAGTTCTGAGCATAACCGTCCACCTCTGGATGAGATAAGCAGGTAGAAACAACCCAAACTCATCCTGCTGCTCAGCAAAGTAATCGAGTATTGATTCAGGGGGAATAAACACAGTTTGATACATTTTAATTCAATAAAAATGTTTAAACCCACGTCTATGCCATAATATCTTTCAGCCTCTTGCAGACAAACATGAAGAACTGACCTTTAAAAAAAACTGAACAGCGTTAAACAATGCAGGAAGGTTGAAACAGCTCTGACCTCTACGCTGTACTTGTTCATCTGAGCAACCCGACGGCAGGACAGGTAGAGCATGCCGATGCTGCTTCCCACTGCCAGGAAGTCAGAGCTGCTGTCCAGGGCGGTCAGGTAAACCAGGACGGACCGGAAGCCCCGCTGGACCTACACACACACACACACACACACACACACACCAATTAAACCCCATCCACAAACTGGATGACATGAAAACCCAAAACTTATATAAATAAATATAAATATCTGGATTTTCTAAATGCAAAACAATGATAAACAATTTTTAAGGATTTTTTCAAACTTCATCAAATTCATCATTTCAACTATAAGATGATGATTTGGCCTTTGAACCTCTTTGGAAACGCCCAAATAATAATGGTGTCATGATTTTGTAAGCTTCTGACTCGTTAATTCATCACAGCTGCGTTAAATAGAGGCAAATCTTTTAAGAAAAACTTAATTATTCCACTTCCATGTGGAAAATCTAAAGAAATCAGCCAAAGATATGAGGAGAGTTCTGGACCTCTACCAGTCTGGTTCTTCTTCCAGTCCAATTTCCAGAAACCTGAAGGTTTCACCTGTTCAAACAACTTCTCTGCAAGTGTAAACTGCATTGTGAACCATCTTATTAATTGTTTAATTTATTTGATTAATTGTTTTAGCCCTAATTACAACAAAGACTGATTAAAAGGCAAAATAATGTTAGACCGACGATGGGTGGAGGTAAACTCCTGATCAGAATAGGTGAGTTCAGTGGTTCTATAGCAGGTTATGGAACAGAACCTTGGCAGGGATGGCATTCAGCAGATAGTACAGCGGACAGAACTCCCTCAGGATGGAAACCGAAGTTGGTTGTGTCGCCATGGTTTTTCGCTGGGATGACTTAGCAGCTTCTGGTTATCATTTCAGACCTAGTAAAAAAAAAAAAAAAAAAGGCAGAAATTAAGACTTTCCTTTTAAAAGACTGGGACATTTAATTAATTTAATCAATTATAAGCTGCAATCAGTAATTCTTAGTGTCTCCAGTTGCCTTCTACAAACGTAGAACAATGGCTGTATGTCTGAGAATCTGCACAGGTGAGATGTTAGCCTCCAGGGGCCAACAGCTTCAAACCCAGTGTGCACAATCAACCCAGCATACATGTTGCAAATAAAATGGAATGTTGTAGTAAATCTTTTTTTTTTTTTTTTTTTTCCAGTTGTTGTAAATGTTGATGCTATAGGCAGGAAGGAAGTCCTGCAGTGGTCTGCCTACTGTGGATCTGGAGAAGCCTCTGACTGAAGACCCTGTTGGTATTTAACAATGTGATGAAGAGGATGCTGAGGATTATCCCACTTTAAAGGAAAAGTCTGGTCAGCAAGGAATAATCAATGGATCATTATTTATACCTAAAACAAATACGTTTACGATGATTCACCTAGCTATAGCACCTAGTACTAGCTATAGCACCTAGTACTAGCTATAGCACCTAGTACTGGCTATAGTACCTAATACTAGCGAGCATAGTCAAAAAATAAAAACAATTATTTTTGTTGCGATCACTGAGTCTGGGATCGGCCATTTTTGTCCAAATAAAGTAACACCTCACTCCCATCTTCCGGCAGTTACGTCACGGTGCGGTAAGCCTAGCACCATTCTCCCTGTGTTACAAGCAAAATCAATGGGAACTACTAGATACATCTGCAATCATCAACAATGATGTTGGTCCCAGGTAATAAAGCTAGCATAGTCTCAGGTACAGCAGCTAGAATAGTTCCAGTTAATAAAGCTAGCATAGTCAGAGGTAGTAAAGCTAGTATAGTCCCAAGTAATAAAGCGGGCATAGTCCCAGGTACTGCAGCTAGCATAGTCCCACGTAAAAAAACTAGCATAGTCCCAGGTATTACAGCCAATATTATTCCAGCTGCTGTAGCTAGCCTAGTACTAGGTGCTATGGCTAGCATAGTAGTAGGTGCTATGGCTAGGATAGTACTAGGTGCTATGGCTAGCTTAGTATTAGGTGCTATGGCTAGCCCAGTACTAGGTGCTATGGCTAGCCTAGTACTAGGAGCTATATCTAGTCTAGTACTAGGTGCTATATCGAGTCTAGTACTAGGTGCTATATCTAGCCTAGTACTAGGTGCTATAGTGAGCCTAGTACTAGGTGGTATATCTAGTCTAGTACTAGGTGCTATGGCTAGCTTAGAATTAGGTGCTATGGCTAGCCCAGTACTAGGTGCTATGAAGAGCCTAGTACTAGGAGCTATATCTAGTCTACTACTAGGTGCTATAGTGAGCCTAATACTAGGTGGTATATCTAGTCTAGTACTAGGTGCTATATCTAGCCTAGTACTAGGTGCTATAGATAGCCTAGTACTAGGTGCTATAGTGAGCCTAGTACTAGGTGGTATATCTAGTCTAGTACTAGGTGCTATATCTAGCCTAGTACTAGGTGCTATAGATAGCCTAGTACTAGGTGCTATAGTGAGCCTAGTACTAGGTGGTATATCTAGTCTAGTACTAG